GCAGGCCAAGCTGAGACTCACCTGAATCTTAGGGAATGCTTCCAAAGAAAAAAAAAAAAAAAAAATATGCTTATACACATCGCTGTTAGGTTACTTTGCCGGGATAATTTCACATGCATGACTATCCGACGTCGAGGAATTCGCGCTGGCCCACCCGCCTTCAGACCACCAATCGGCAATTGACGGCTCATTATCAGATACGCCCTTCTTCTCACGCACCTTTCCCCGTGGTCATTCTGCTCGTCACGCTCCTTCCACTCTACTTCCTGCTCCTGCTGTTCGTCCTCGTCCTCCTCCATCAACTTCCTCCTCCTCTTCCGCCTGCTCATCCTCCTGCTCACCAGCCACCATCACCTCCTCTGCACGCAACTCTCCCTTTCCGATTTCGCATAACAGGATGGGGTCGTGTTGTTGAAGTTCCAATCACGCGTCCGCGGATAGAGAAAAATCAGTGCAATGGGAAGGGATGAAAGGGAGGAATGGGGTGTCAGACGTGGCACTTTGCTCGTCTCCTGCCCATCTTCCCTCTTTCCCTAGTGTTCCGGACCGCGGCCGTGCGCGGCCCGGCAAAACCCCAGCAACACCAAATCCTCAGATGGCCGCCTCGCTTCCCGCTGGTCAGAGGCATACGCAACTGTGCTTGCGCGATAGGGGAATGCGTTGCTCTCAAGAAGGGGATCGGCTACCGTATTGATTTACCCCGGAATCGATTTCTTCTCCGGATCTACAAAACATGCGTAGAATGTTCCGTAGATTTACGGAGCATCCTACGTATTTCCCGTTGATGCAAGGGAAGCAAATTTGGGCGAGAATCAACTCTGTACTCGATCCTCTACTCGATGCTTGACTGTTGCCGGGTCGGAGTTCTTTAGTCCTCCATAAACGCCACCCCCGCCCCCGTCGCAACAGTGCTGCCAAGATTGTCTCTAGTTGAGCTTCCTGGCACCATTTTCCTGACGGCCCAAGACAACCAAGGAGCGCCCAACAGCAACCGCACTACGCCACAAAACCATCCAAGGATTGCCCAACGAGCCCAACAAGACTCCAATATCTCGACATGATGCCCAATAAGTATCCAAGAGATGCCCAATATCTCGACATGATGCCCAATATCTCGACGGCCTAAGAGGCATCAAGCTCGGCCCTCAGAGGCGAAGCACACTGAAAACCAAGCGAGTGTCAACGTATATTTGTGTTCAAACGCTTTCGGCGTACGATCGCCCTGATTAGGGCATATGTGAGCCCCAGTAGACCCCCAAGGGTGCTCCAATAACGCACAAGGGCGGGCCCACGACCCATCTAAACGTCCCAAACATGCTTCAACCGAGTTTCTCACTGAGAGCTCGACAGCACCGTCGCGCCCAAGACGGCACCAAGACGTCCGACGGGCCCCCAACGGCCCTCAATAGGCCCAAAGAAGCCTCGAAGAAACACCCACGAAGCCTCCAATGTGAAAGGAAAGAGGGTACAGGAGACTGCAACCAGAGATGAGTGTTTGAGACCCGCACTAATCCCACCAGCCATTTAGGGCGCAGGAGGTGTAGGGCTATTCCAAACCCTTTGTTCCCCTTCGAAGATGGGTTTACCACTAACCCCCCCTCGCCTGAATCTGGAAGGAGGGGGTGGGGGGAGCGAGGCGAGGCGTTGCAGTGTCCAAGATTACCCCAGGTGACCCCAAGAAAGACCCAGAGAGCCCACGATAACCTCCAACAATGTTCAAGACAATCCAAGGTGGCAACAGGGCTGAACCTAGACTGTGTTTTTCGTGTTCGTGTTGTTTTCGTTTTCCCTCGCCTGTCTCGAATCCGCTTTACCGCAAAACAAATTCGAAACGAAAACGGCCCACGATATCGACAAACACACCGTTTAGATCCAGCCCTGGATGGCAAGATGGCTTCCATCATGCTCCAAAAGGTGCTAAGACCGCTCCAAAACGGCCTCAAGTGTCCTCGGAGCCTCCCAGGAACGCCTCCAAGATGCCAGCATCCATCGAAAACCTCAGGAGCATCAATGACTGCGTGCCGTCTCGCCTTTTCACTTCAGAGAGCCTTCCGAGGCCTCAAGATGGCTTCAAGATGGCCCACGCCAACACCAAGAGTGCTGCGAGACAACCTCAACAGAGCCCAAGAGCGCTCCAATACCGCCCCAAGAGGGCTCCCAAGAGACTACTTGTTGGGACGTGTTTGGGCTCAAGAGAAGCCAGGCAACGCTGCAGTCGAAACGCTGTCATGAGGAACCCGAAATGCAGAACGAGGCCCTTTTTTCCCCTTCCGTTGAACTTCGGTCTCCCATGGAAAACCCAAGGAACACCTAAAAACAACATGTAAAACAAGTAAGGAACGCCGAGCCCCTCCCCAACGAAAGGGTTCATCCTTCAGCTGCCCGACTGTACTCCAGATTTCGTAATAAAAGGGAGGGGGTCTCAACCCTCCCAGACGAGAAGTTTTAGACCCTCCCAGACCATCCATGAAAGGGCGGCCCTTTGCCCAGAACCCCCCCGAACCCTCTAAGACAGCTCAAATCAGACCCCCCCCCAAATGTGCCCCCCCCGACTTTATTATGGAATCCGGAGTACTTAAAACTCTCCCCTAGTAGATAGACGTCCTCCAGGGTTGGCCCCGAGAGGGCCCCCCCAAGGCCCTGTGAGGGCCCCAACGTCACCGGAAAGGCCCCAAGATCGTAAGCTGCCACGACGATCCCAGATCGAGAGATCCACGAAGGCGTTCATGGGCAGGTCCCGATCTTCGGGTTTTGTTGGTTCCTCCCCTCTTTGTTCCACTGCGTGCCCCCACACTTCCCTCATCAAGGCAACTCGAGAGAGCATCGTTGTTGGGGATGCGCGAAGCGTTAGCATTAAGTCGGGCCTGTCCCCCTACAGGGGGATTTTGGACGAAAAATAAAACATTGACAGACAATGCCCTAAACTACTCAAAAATGATCAAACAATCGTCCCCAGACTATTATCTGACAATTGTTGAATAGTCCTCCTGTAGAGGGACAGGCCCGACTTAACGTTGGCACTTCGGACAGCGCGCTGAAATGGAGTGGGCATGACATTCGGACATGCAGCGCTGCCGCGCTGGCGCAGTGGACCTCGATCGATGCGTGCTATCTGGGCCGAGGCGCGATTTGAGCAACACGAAAGACCCGCGCGACAAATGAACGGACCCGTGCAGTAAACAGGAAGACAAAGGCGGTGAAGGAACACCGCATCGGGCCCCTGCGGGCAGGAGATACGGTTCTGCATGGCCAGATTCGAAGCTGGAAAAACCTCAAACAATACCCTGATCCACCGAGGTGGGCAGCGCAGAGGAAGAACAACATTGGCACGAAGGAAACGGGGTCCTGGTGGAAACGGGTTCCTGGACCCTGGGACTTTTCCCAAGACCGGCTCTTCGTCGCGAGTCGCTCCGTTGGCCCGGCAGCAGACCTCTGGGATCGCTCTCCACAGGATCCCTCTACCTCATGGCGAGCAGTGAAAGATCGGCGGCGAGCCCGGGGGAAGTGCGGGTGCGGGCCTCCTCAGAACGCTCAGAAGTCCCCCGACCTCCCGAACCTTCCCCGGAGACACCGAAACCAGCCCCTCAGAGGGCCGCGGAGGGCTGCAGAGAAGCCCCTCGCCGCCTCCCGAGAGGGCCTTCTCCTTCTCGCTTCCCCCCCATCGCTCGCCGCCGAGAGTAGACAAGCGCGTTCCACTACTCGCAAGGTAGCTACTCGCAAATGGCCTGGATCCGCCGCAGGGGATCTACCATGTATTACACAGGGGCTGACGTGTGGTTGTTGGGACGTCTGCGAGTAGGCACGTCTGCGAGCAGTGGAACGCGCTCGGCGAGAGAGGAGCACGAGGAACCCGAGGAACACACCGCTGCAGTGCTCGGGCCGGGGCCACCCCCCAACCCGAACTCGCCGAGCCCCCAATTGCCAGCCTGGAACATATCCCTGTCCCTGTGTTGGGCATCGCCCCATCACGATGGCGATCTTGGGGATTTCCTCCGTTTCTGAGGGTGCATCCCTGAGATTTAACGGACGAAGAACGGTATAACATAAACTTTTTCGTTGTCGGGGGCGCCTGTCCCTGGGCGGCTGGAAAGTTTATACCCCTACGGTGCCACCGTAGGGGTATAAACTTTCCAGCCGCCATGGACAGCCCCCCGACAGCGAAACAGTTTATGCTGAAAGATTGTCGTCTCCTTTTCCCAGGAGGGGGGGAGGGGAGGAGGCGATGGCGATCTTCGAGCATTTCTCAGAAGCTCCCTCCTCCCTCTTCCTCTTCCTCCTCCTCCTCCACCTCTACTCCCCCCCCCCCCCCCCCCTCCTCCTCCTTCCTCCTCCTCCTCCTCCTCCTCCTCCTCCTCCTCCTCCTCCTCCCCTTTTCGCGTGTCAATCTCAGGGGTAGGGATAGGTTCGAGGCCGGTGACCCCACGCGCGTGTATCCCCCCCGTGGGCCCGGCGGCCGGGCGCCGCGGGCCGTCGGAGCGGGCGCTGGGAAAAACCGAGTGGCGGGACACTCTCGGGCGGGTGGCAATTACAGTCGGGGGCTTGACCTAAGGAACCCAAAATAAGGAACGAGGCCCTTTTTTTCCATGAGTTAAACCTAGATTTCCGATCGAAAACATAAGGAAAACCCGAGGCAAGCTGCGAAACACTTGAGGAAACCTGAGGAAAGCTGCGAAACATCATTGGGCGATCCGACAGACAGACAGACAGAAGCCATACGCCCAAGGCGCGTCGGCAAACGCACATTTCATACACTACACACACCGCTCTCTCAATCTATGTCTCCAAACAAGAGGATCTTGGACAAGATCTTGCAATCTGTCTCCTTCCCGCATGCCCGGTGCGCATGTCCTTCCCCGCATGCCCGGTGCGCATGTGGGCGATCTGAACGGAGGTTGAAGAAACGGGCCCTTGCTGGCCCCTGCTGGCTCCAAGAGGGGCCCTAAAGTGCCCCTGTAGGACCCTTTCCTTCACCCTCCATTCAAGTGAACCCACCTTGCCACCCGCCCGACCCTTTTTATCATGGCAGCGCTTGGGCCCGGGTCTGTGGCGAGCGCAGCGCGACACGCACGTGCCGTTGCCATGGGCGGTGAACTTTGCCGACTGTCACCGGCTCCCCTCTCAATGGGGCGCGCCGTCGGACAAGATAGATGATTGAGGCTCTCGCCTGAGGCTGACCTGGCTCACGCCTGGGAGACGCGCTGCACAATGGCATCTGCCGCACAGCGCGCTCGGGTCTGCGAGCTGCCGCCCGTCGCGCCGGGGTTGAGCAGGGACCGACCGTCCCGGCATTCCTATAGTCCTACCACAGAATGTTCTTAGAACCCGAAAATGTTCTAATGACAAAAACCATGTTCTCAGAACATAGACCCGATGTGATAAAAAAAACGATGGCCCCAGCCTGACATGTTCTAAGAACAGTTCGTGGGAACCACAAAAAGGTTCTCAGAACATTGCTTGGAAGGGCTCTGGGCGAGCCAGGACGCTTCGCCACTGCCTGATGAAGGGACTCTCGCGAGAAGAAAACTGCCCCGGCGGCGAGCGGCAGCAGGCGTGCCGCAGGAGGCCGCCCCTGCAGCGGGTGGGCTGCGGGCTGGCCCCGCGGCGAGCAGCTGCGAGCCGCATAAGAAAGAACGATTGCAGGCCCGTGACGTCGCACGGGCGGCCCATGCAGAGAATTGCCGAAACGCCAGGGAGTGGTCAGATCTGGAAGGAGATGGGCAGTTCCTACCATCATACCGTGGCTTGGAGGTGACCTTACACCTCCCCCTCCTCCTCCTCCTCTTCCTCCTCCTCCTCCTCCTCCTCTCTTCTTGCTGTTTATCCCCTCCCCACAGAGAGAGAGAGAGAGAAAAAGAGAGAGAAACCAAATGGCCCATGATCATGGAATCTCACTCGCCTCCAGAATGCTTTCGTTGTCCGAGCAGTCCGAGCCGGCTGTCATCAATGTCTCGTCAAGTCTGTTCTCGGAGACCTTCTTGACTGGACGGTCGACCACGTACCAGTAGATCGCGAAGAAGTGACAAGTGCTGGCGGCGAGCACGAACAGATGCCAGATGGAGTGGTCCGGCATCTCCCACATGTGCCCACCGCGTACGAAGAAGGGTATCCCTGCGCTGTAAAGAATCCCGCCGACCACTAGCAGGACGGCTCCCTCGCGGCCCAGCTCCCGCAGGATCTCCCGTATGACAGCGACACACGTCCATCCCATGACCAGGAAGAAGGTCAGCCGCAGCGCCGTTTCGCCAGGTCCGCGGTAGAAGGCAGCCACGCTGATTCCCAGAAGCGACGAGATCCACATTCCCCTGATAAGCGCCTTGGCCCACCACTCTCCATGGAAAAGAATGACGAAGAAAGGTGTGTACGTGCCAGAGATCAACAAGAAGATCCCGCAATAATCCAAAGTCCGGAATATTTCAACTGTGGCTCGCCCCAACGAAAAGAACGAGTGGTACAGGGTCGACAAGAGATATAACATTGTTGCAGACACACAGTAAATCGCAACGGAGCACTTGTAATAATCAGGTTTATTCCTTACCTTCACAAGAAGCAGCACCATGCCGGCTACACCTAGGCACACGCCGATCCCATGGGTGATTGCGTTGAAGACCTCGTCGAAGACGCGGTTGCCGTCCAGGTCGACGTCCATCGCCTTCTGGTCGGCCACCTCGAGGATTGCCTGGCAGGTCACGAACTCTATGATGATGCGCCTGTTTTCCACCACCGCCACCATCAGTTGGAGAGGGAGGGGGTCCTCTCCTCCTCGTCCTCGTCCTCCACCTCCTTTCCCCCTCCAACTTATGGTGGTGGTGGAAAACAGGCCCATCATATGATGTTGTTCTGCAGGTCCACGGTCTGCAGGCTCGTGTTCCTCAGGAGGTCGAGCACCACCTGGCCGCCCTCGTCGAAGAGGCCGCAGCTGTGCAGGCGGAGCTCACGCAGGGTGCTGGACGCGCGGATCGCGGAGCCCACCGCACACGCGCCTTCGAGGCCCACATCCTGTGAAGTGAAGGGGGCCCAGGGACACGCAAATTCGCCGGCCCAACGGGCCAGAAGCGTGCTAAGATCTCCGGTAACTGGATAACAATATTTCTACTTCGCGCGCGCGGAGCGGCCCCTGGGGGCCCCCGGACGAAAGGTACCCCGGCTGGGTCCCGGTCAGGTCCCCAGAGCGCTCCAAGGGAGCGCCATTTTTCGACACCTCTCACGAGGATCGTGGCCTCCGAGGGGGGAGCCGCAATCGACTACCCCCCCTCCCGCCCCAAGAGGCCCCCAAGAGCCCCCCAAGACGCCCTGGGGGCCCCCAAGACGCCGCCAAGGAGCCCCAAGAAACGCCCAAGAGGTCCCCAAGAGGCCCCCAAGAGGCCCGAAAGAGGGCTCCAGGGCCAGCGGAATGAGCGAAGCGATTTAATAAATAGACACAAATAGCAGAATTCCCTTATATTTTCCAATCTGTTTTAGGTTTTCGTCTTCCCCCCCACATTTCCCATACTTTCCCATACTTCCGTACGATGAATTGTGTCTGTGTTTCTTTCCCTCCCGATCCTGGTTGGACAGGTCCAGCACCTCCAGCGCGCAGCTGGGGTGGAGCAGCAGCTGCGCGACGATGATGGGCGTGCTTTCCACCACCACCACCATCAGTTGGAAGGGGAGGGGGTCCTCCTCCTCCTCCTCTTCCTCCTCCTCCTCCCCCTCCTCCCCCTCCTCCTCCTCCTCCTCCTCCTCCTCGTCCTCATCCTCGTCCTCCTCCTCCTCCCGCTCGTCGTCCTACTCCTCCTCGTCCTCCTCGTCCTCCTCGTCCTTCTCGTCGTCGTCGTCCTCCTCCTCCTCCTCCTCCTCCTCCTCCTGCTCCCCCCCTCCAAACTTGTGGTGGTGGTGGTGGAAAACGGGCCCGTCGGACGAGCAGCATGCTGGAGGCGCCCAGGCGCGCGCGGGACAGGTCCAGCGAGCGGAGGCGCGACAGGTAGCGGCCGCCCCCGTCGAGCAGCAGCAGGACCAGCGCGCGCAGGTCCAGGTTCCCGAAGGAGGAGCGTATCGACATGCGCAGGGGAACGAAACTGAAGGGGCCCTGGGACACACAACTACGTAGACACAAATATCGAGGAGACGTAAGACTCGGGTACGTGGGACTCGGATTGGCCTGAAGTTGAGGGATGAAAAAAAACGACCCTACCCTGGGTTACAAGTGCGTGGTCTGTAAACCTCCTGGGAACCCCCAAAGCCTAGAGGACGCCAGGACGCCGCACATCACGCAGGGTTTACCCTGTCAGCCCACAAGAGTTTCAGCGCGCAGCGCCTCTTTTTCCCATAAGTTTAACTTCGATTTCCCATCGAAACCCTAAGCAAAACCAAAGGCGAACTGCAAAACAGCTAAGGAACACCGAGCCCCTCCCCAACGAAAAGGGTTCCTTCCTCAGTGCCCCGACTGTATGCCACTTTTTGTTCCCCTTGTATCGACATGTGTAGGGGAACGAAACTGAAGGGGCCCTGGGACACACAAATCAATAGCCACAGATAATTAACCAGATTCCCCACATGTTCGCATGTTTTCTGGGTTTCTGTTTTCCCCCCCACTTCTCACAATTTCGCATGCTTTCCTGGGAATCGACGATGAATTGTGTCTGTGCTTCTCCCCCTCCTGAGAAACATTCGAGCAGGGACCGACCGTCCAGGCATTGCTATAGGCCTGCCCCAAAATTGTCTTTGGACCCAAATATGTTCTAATAACGAGAGCCATGTTCTTAGAACGTTAACCCGATGTGTGGAACCAAGGCAGTCTCAACCCAAAATGTTCCAACATTTCGCGGAAGCCTCAGAAAAAAAAGGCCCATAGGCACGCCAGGACGCTTCGCCACTGCTTGAAATATGACACGAGCATAAAATTCCAGAGGTCCGCGCGGACTTCTGGGATCCGCGCTGGAACCCCCCTCCGGAGGGTCCGGCGCGGAGCGCCCCGGGGGCGGCGCCAGAGGGTCCCCAGCGCGCATCCGAGAGAACTCCGCGCGGACCTTCGAGTGGTCGTGTTTTTGTCGTTGCTTGCAAGCACATCGTCTTCGGCACCGCCTGATCCTGGGGCTTTGCCCCCTCTTGGCCTTGACGTGAGGCTCCTCCTTCCACCCCCCCATTTGTTAACTCAAGCTGTGCCGGAAGAGGCCCGCTTAGCTTCGACCAGAAGAGGTGCGCTCTCGCCCCGCGAATCCAAAGAAGTGTTTTTGTCGCTGCTCGTTCCCCCGATGTGGCTCAGCCCGACGTCCAGCTGGTTGAGGACGTCCGGGGACGGCTGCTGGCCGAACTCGCCGCACGAGTCCAGGTAGCCCGGGACTCCGGGCCGGCTCTGGGCCAGCGCCGCCTCGCTCGCGCGCTCGGGCACCGGGCAGCGCCTCTCGGGGCCGGTGCCGAAGCCCGTACGGTAAACCAGGGGCAGCTGCCCGGCCGCCAGGGCGGGTTGGAGCACTGCCCAGGCGAACTGGCGTGGCACGCCCATCTGCAGGGGAGGAGGGTGGAGGAGTGTGCAGCAGGGGCCCGACCACAAGAAACCTTCTGCAAGAAGCCCACCCCTGAGACCCCAGGACGTCCATGGAGTCTTTGCGTGGGAGCGTTACGCTGTCCATAGCAAGACCATCGAAACCCAAGACACCCGGGGCACCCTGGAGGCAAGCAGGTCGCTTCTTGGCACGGGCCTCCGCTGTCTGCGAGGGGGGCCCGGCAGCCGGCGAGGGAGGAGGCACACGCGCAGACCGCAGCCCCCGGGCCTCAACCCCCCAAAAAATATATGCGCCAAAATTGCTACAGGGCAGTTTTTCATACATAGAATGTTTAAACATATCCGATGTTCAATACATGCTGAATGTATGAATACATGTATGCATGAACTCATCGTTGTTTTTAATACTAAACCCCTGCATGTTTTCACACATGATCCGCACGCGGAGCATGTATTGAAAACGGCACTGTACCGGCCGCGCCTCTGCCCCAGACCTCCCGAGGCGTCGTGGCATGGCCCACACGCGGGAGCTCTAGGACCACTTCTCCAAGTCTTGTTTCACTCATGGGCAGAAGGTGCGCCGCTCCGAAGTCGGCGAACCCAATGATTTGGCCTTCAGCCTCTGCAGCTGGAGGCTCTGGCCTTCTGGTGTCTCTGGAATGCCTGAAAATGCTCGATGTCGTGAAACGGCTTCCCGCCAACGGGATGCAGACCCTCGAGCAGCCTCTTGCGGGCCACGTACCTGGAGCCACTCTTTGGTGGCCCTTTGCATTCCTCCATCGGGAGCGGCAAAGAGGGGGGCGTCAAAGAGGGGGGGGTGCAAATCATGACCGGCGGCATGTGCGCGGCCCAGCGGGGGGGCCAGGAACGTAATGAAATAAGAACAGGCGCTATGAAATCCGTGGAAAAATCAAGGCCCGCGCCATGAAATCCCCCCCCCCCCCCTAGTCATCACCCCCCTCTTTTCCGCCCCCGACTCCAGAAGACCTCTGAAAACAGAAGTGTCGGCCCCCGGGGGTCTGGAAACATCCCCTCGACGTCGGGGGCGGCCAGGAGGAGCGGGCCCCACAGGGTCCCTTTATCGGGGATGGACAGACCCCCCCATTAGTAAAACGTGGTTTGGTGAAAACGACCTGAGGCCCAAACCTGGCGGGCGCAGGCCTGGAAAATAACAGCCGCGGCGCCCTCTCGAGAACCGACAACGGACAATTCACTAATCGACGTGTCACTGTTGAGGGTTCTGCCCACCCCCGACTTTAGGGCCCCTCTTGGAGCCAGCAGGGGCCCAACCAGTGCCCTGGAAGTGCCCCCTTGAGGGCCCGACTTCTTCACCACAGAGTTGGGCCCCCCCCCGTTGCCACCCGCCCGGCCCTTCCTGGCCGCCCCCGATCCAGGCGGGACATAGGAGGAGAAGTGCCCCCCAAACCTCTTCACCACAGAGTTGGGTCACCCCCCGTTGCCACCCGCCTGGCCCTTCCTGGCCGCCCCCGATCCAGGCGGGACGTGGGAGGAGAATTGCCCCTGGAAGTGCCCCCTTGAGGGCCCAACTTCTTCACCACAAAAGTGTGTCACCCCCCCGTTGCCACCCGCCCGACCCTTGCTGCTGGCCGCCCCCGAACCAGGTGGGACGTAGGAGGAGAAGTGCCCCTGGAAGTGCCCCTTGAGGGCCCGACTTCTTCACCACAGAGTTGGGTCACCCCCCCGTTGCCACCCGCCCGGCCCTTCCTGGCCGCCCCCGATCCAGGCGGGACGTAGGAGGAGAAGTGTCCCTGGAAGTGCCCCGTGGAGGGCCCAACCTCTTCACCACAGAGTTGGGTCACCCCCCCGTTGCCACCCGCCCGGCCCTTCCTGGCCGCCCCCGGTCCAGGTGGGACGTGGGAGGAACGCCCAGAGGGGATAGACGAGGGCCGGAGAAGGGTACGCCCGAGAACAGCGACAATCAGCATGCTGTGCAAAAGTGGCTGTTCTGGGAAGGGCCGGTGGGGATGCGCGAAGCGTGAAGAATTTGGGCCACCCCCTATTACAGTCAACCAGTTTTGTAAGGATGCGCGATGAGGATGCAGGGGCCTTGGATGCCCACTTCGAAGGTTTTCGAGCGGGGCGCGGCCAACGAAAGCGGCGAAGGATGGACCGAGGAGGCAAGGATGCAAGGGTACCCTTGGGAAGGTCGCCCATCCTTACGATGCGGGTTGACTGTATCACCCGCCCGACCCTTCTTGGCCGCCCCCGATCGACGTCACTGTCTGGGAGATGTTGCCGGGGTCCTGCGTACCACTTGGCGGCGCGCACAAGGGGGTGGGGGGAGGGGGGAGGGCTTCTTAGAAGGAGGCTGCTTCTTAGAAGGCGCCGGCCTGACATCTACAGAGAAGGCCCGCGCCTTCTAAGAAGCAGGGGCGCTTCTAAGAAGCCCTCCCCCCCCTCCCCCCACCCCCTTGTGCGCGCCGCCAAACCACGGCTTGGGAAGGCCAGCCAGGAGGCCTCCGGAGGTCCCTCTTATAATAAAGGTCTCCGCAGGAGGCCCCCGCAGGCTCCAGAGGCCTCCTCCGGCGATCCGAAGCTCGCTGGTGCTCGGACGTCCAGTCCCCGTGCATGCTCCGATGCCGTACGCGTTTTTTTGTTCGCACGATGGTCCGACGTTAGGGGAACGAGCAATGACATAGAAATAAAAACTCGGACGTCCGCGCGGACTTCTCGGCTCGGAGCTGGAGCCCCCCGGCGGCGCCTCTGGCGCCGCCCCTGGTGAGCTCCGCGCGCAATGGGGGGGGGTCCAGCGCTAATCCGAGTCGAGGCTGCCTCATGCCCGTCTGACGACGACGCCAGTGCCGTCGGCCAGGGACAAATCCTGAGGACAACGGTACCTGGAGCCTTCCCCAAGGAGAACTCGCACGGTTGCAGGTCCGAAGTCTCGGGAAGGGACGGGGAGACGAAAACGTCAGAAATACCATACACACGTGTTTTGTTTATGGCCCTCGTCAGTTGCGTTTTGACTAGGACTCTGGAGCGGATCCAGACAAAGCCGCGATAAGCTCCCAGAACAAAATCACGAAATGCTTGCGAATGATGACCCAACTATGTCCAGCTTTGAATACCGAAGGGGTGCCGCTTTCGGTGGAGCTCTCTGTGAGGCCACGATCTGAG